GGCCGCGGGGGGGAGGGGGAACTACTACTAATAACAGGCAGTCTGCTAAAATGCGTACCAATAATTTAACTTGGCGACCGCGAACTTGGAGGGGAAAATAAAAACGAGGCAAATAAAGTGGCCGATAAAGAAAGGACTCTGCCTAATTTGGGAAGAGGTGGTGGCGGACGTTGGCCTCGAAAAAAGGCACATTGGCCACCTCCTTGGCCTGTGTCCCATTCGCCGTCCCAAAGAGAGTGAAGAGCGGCATAAGGTGTTCAAGCGCACCACGAGGCTGAGCCTCGTCAAATCCAGCCATCGCAGTCACCCGCTTTACTGCTGCCATACGCTTTTCTGGGGGCATTGCCTTGTCACTTGCGCAAAGAACCTCACTTAGTGCATCGCCAAACCTTTTTCCGGCATCTTTCTTGTTGAAGTGCGAAAAGTGGTGCATCGTGGATCCACTCCCCAAAAAGAAGACGCCACGGGATCGAAAAGGTCGTAGAGCCTCGCCCATCCGAATGTGCTCCGCCGGATCCCCGCCCCGAAGGACAGAGATGGGCAAAACAGGAATTTTGGCCTCTGGAAACATAATCATAAGAGGAACAAACACACCATGGTCAAAGGGCCGACTACCATCCAGCTCCGCCGCGAGCCCATTGGATTTCAACGCCGCCACCATCTCCTGCGCAAGAGATGGTTCTCCTGGTGCTGGGTATTTTATCTCGTAACTCTCAGGAGGAAATCCGTAGTAGTCGTACAACATCTTGGGCTGCGCAGCTCCTCCTACTCTCGGGGTGGCGGTCTCATAGTGCGCCGACACGACGACTATAACTTTGGGAAGCCCAAATCACCTCTCCAACTCATTCCTATGTTGTTTTAGTTGTCCAAAGATTGCCGCGTTTTTCGCATCCCCAAGCAGCGGGAGTGGGCCGCCCCCATGGCATATGAAAAGCGCTGGGTAGAGAGCGATTGCCGTGACGCTCGTCGCTCCCCCCCTTTTTTTTGTCGCTCTCGCTCTCACTTCTTTGCTTGCCTTGTTTTCTTTGGCGTCTATAGGTGCACCCGCCCCGGAATCAGCACGGGACTTCAGTACAATACCTAGACCCACCCCACAGAGATGCAGGAAAAAAAGAGGGAATAGTTTCGCATACAACACAGAGATAAACAAACCCAATACACTGAAAAATCTAACATCTGGCAAACAATGAAGCATGGAATGTGCGTCATGAAGAGGCCCTTTACTCCTACTCAGAAAAAAAAAGAAGAGAAAGCCCCACCCAGAATGGAAGGTGGTAGATTGGCTCAGTGTACGTAGCACTCCAGTTTGGGCGAGATTTATTTATAATTCGTAAAGCAATTAAGTAGTTCATGCAAAACAAGTTTTTGAAAACGGTCTCTGGTTGTGAATGCACAAAGCGGCAATTCTTAGGTCACCACCACCATCACCGCTGGAAACCTCCGTGTGGGAAGTATGCGTGGCGGGGGTCTGAAATTTGATGGCAGAACCACACTCGCCACCTTCCGGCGCGGTATCCTCCAGTTAGCCCGCGTTGGGCGTAAGTCCCTTCCAAAAGACTCAAGGGCAACAAAACCACAGCGACGAAAGGGCCCAACGGTTAAAAAAAAAAGAGGAAGGAAGTTGCCGCATCAAGCGACAGAGACACATGATAAACGCACAGATGCATGCGTAGATACAGATAGATACATGCGGTAATACCAAGAGAATGCCAAAAACAGGAACAAGCAGGTGAAAGAAACACAAGTTCACAGAGCGGTCAGTGTCAGGATGAACCCACGCGCCACAAATTCCTCTTTCAAAAACAACACATGAGTGAAAAATGGGTGCAGCATCTACGTGGCCAGAGCCTCGCCCAATGCACACGCATCCACTCAAAGTCATATAAAAACAAACACGCGCGCTCAAGCATGCTTCTGCCCATAAGAGAAAAAGCTTCAACGTGAATACAGTATACGAATTGCAAGAATAGTGAATCCACAACACCCATCCTCCCGCAATCTTTTCCCTTTTCTATTTTTTTTTTTTCTATATTCTTTTTCTTTGTTTTTATTCTTCACATTCTCTTACTAGTTTTAATTCGTTTTCCTTCCACCTTCCTTG